AGAGATTAGAACTTTTACCAAATGTAGTATGCCCCAGCTAGTATTTACAGATGACACAATTGGAAAAAAGAGMAAGAGGAGTAGAAATTCCAAAGTGATACAGTGAACCCATTCAGAGATGTGTATTTGCTTTCTTGGATATGTTTATATTCCCTCAGCTGCCCACACATTTCTCGTGCTAAAGGAGTTCCATGCTAGAAGGATTAATCCTCAGACACAGCTTCTGCACATCACCAACCTTTGACATTTACAAGAATTATTTTAGTTGAGTCTTCCAGACCCAAGTTTCCCTCAGATACATAGTGTCATTTTATTGTATTTTAAGATTTTAGCATGTGTACATTATGCCAGGAAAAAAAGGGAGGTCATCATTCCATTTGAACATTGTCAGCTCTTATATTTAACTCATATTACATATAGAAAACATAGTGTTACAGCATGTTTCTTGAAACCAGTGAAATACATGAAACTAGAGAAAGATTTTAAAGCTCCGCAATGTGTAAAAAAAAAAAAAAAAAAAGGCCTGCGGAAGGAGGAAATATAACCTTATTAAAAAGAGCAACAACAACAACAACAAACTTTAAAGGGTACCCTGCATACAAAATAATTGTCGTGCGTTTGGGTTCCCCTTCCATTTGTGGTGCTTTAACTGCTAGTTGTACTGCTTTATGAAAGCCCTTCTGCTTTAATAGCACTTCTGGTGATTCTAATGTAGAAGAAAAGCAAAGTATTAAGATTTTAGGCTTATGAAGGGGACCTCTGAGATGGTAACATGCTTTCTCTTACAGAAAGAGCTGTTGAAATTTGATTAGGATACTCTTTTGACCTTCTCAAGTTCCTGGATCATCATCCCTTTTGAAAGGGACAAAAAGGGTATTAAAATTACTTAAGCTCAATTTGAAGACCTTTTTCTCCTTTGACTTAGCTGGTAAGTTGTAGCACGCCACAGGATCCAAGACAAACCTGCTGTCTCTAGCTGCCTTCTTCCTGTGTGAAAAGGGTGAACAWCAACCTGTCACTACCCAATGCACATTATTTGCCAAATTCTCCACTGGCCAGGAGAAGCTAACACTTTAGGGATAGTTGAATGTTTTTCTTCCATTAACTTTTGAGATAGAATATTGCATAATTATTTCTTATTATATAATATTCATTAATGACATGGGCTGCTATTGCATATCTATTACTCTGTTTAAAGCATTGAGGTAGGAAGGAAAATTTTTGCTAAAGAACGGACCAAAACCTTTCCAGACTCTGCTACCATTTTACAATTGCCTATCAGTGTTAAAAGAGAGAGCAGCAATATCACCTTTCACTTCTTACAGGCTCACATGTAGACTCCCTACCCGTAGAATTTCTTTTTATTTTAAAGCCAGGTCTAACAGACTTGAGTATTATGATCTAAAGATTTACCTCCTCTTTCCTGTCTGTATAGGCAGAGCTGGTTTTCCTCAGCTGTTTTCTGTTAACTCATTTGTATTGTATCAGCACTGCAAAGAGCAGAGTAGTTTTGCTATGCTGAGTGTAGTGGTTTGTTATTCTCAGTATAGCAGCACTGCAAGACCCTGTGCAGGTGCCAGGTCTTCCTTTAGTTCTGAGCAACAGAAGGAAAATGTAGTTTGTCAGAATTCCCAAGCTCTGTAGTTTTAGAATCTCTTCAAAATCAGCCACCAAGGTAACGTTTCTGACAAACAGATAGAGTGAGCACTACAAGAACACTTGAAAATAAGACTTTAGTTCTACAAATGAACCATGAATCCAATGATGAAAATGATAAATGGAGACAGGCCATAGGATGAGGTCACTCCCTTCCTATATTCTCTACTACAAAACCACCTTTCAGTAGGCAGGATAACCAGAATAGAATGTTAGGACATGCAGCTACTTCATGGTCAGTAAAATCATTTCTCAAGTAATGGGAATCCAGGAACAGACATTCACTCTAATGAACAGCTTAAGCAAAATTGGAAAGATAACCTAAAAATTAATGTTCTATTGATATATTGCAAATATTAATAAAATCASAAGATTAAGGTAAAAATGATAAAATCCACCTATCTTGGTCAATATGGTTTAAGACCATCTGGTCTTGTAAAAAATAGATGAGAACTGCAAAGAGAGGAACTCATGTTTTAGAGGAACATGTGGGAAAGGTCTAAGAATCTCTGGAAAACACTAAGTAAAAGGAGTCCTGAACTTTGATGCCGTACTTAATTTTAGGAAAGGAGAAGCCTGTGAAAGATTTTTAAAGCTTTCTCTCCCCTTTATCCTACCTTCTGAACTCTTCTAATCTTCTTAAGCAAAGTAGTTTGGTGCTCAGGAGATCACTCCCATCTTCTTCATCAAGCAGGCCTACCTATTCAAGGCCAGCATCCTTTTTGAAAATACTTTCTTGATTTTGTCATGTTAAATTCTCTTCTTAATAGAAATTGAGAATTTCTTTCAAATTCAACTTCTGCAGTAAGAAATTGAGAAGTATTCTAAAACCTATTCATTGCAATTTCAAAAGAATCAAACTTAAAATTGAGACAGCTTTATAGGTACTAAAAAGCAAAAACATCCATTTATTACTTTCACATCTCAGTCATTATTTGTTAATGACGCGACTTACACAAATTCTTGTTTGGAGTTGGCAGTATTAGCTAAGTYATTGACAGGGACCTGTGGCAGAGAACATTGTTATGTGTTTATATGATGAGAACATTGGCTGTATCTCAATCTAATACATCTTCAAGCAACAGAAAAGGAAAATTCTGCAACATGCTTTAGATACCATGTCTGTAACTCAGATTTACAAAGAGATACATATATTTTATACATGCCATCTGACAATATCCACTTTTAGATTAAGCCAGGTTTTCTTAATCAGTCTCTTGACTGATTGACTTGTGCTTGAAAGAAGCACAAGTATCATATTTCTGGATTAAGCCTTTCATCTAAGTAATTCAATCACAATTTAACCTAAAATCATTTAATTAGGTGTGTTGAAAAAACATTTCTTCGTAGAGAACTGAATGCATAAGATAGAAGAGTCACACAGTTGGCTATTAACTTGAAAAATAGATGCTTTTCTCTAGTTTTAAAAAAGGTTATTTTTCTAAGATACAGATACTTTAGTAGCTCACAAGTCYCAAAAAAGGCAAAATAGCACCACCTGCTGCTGAGCAGAGTTTTTTTTAAAATCTATTCTGATCACATTTATGATAAATTATGATTTATGCTCTATAGAGACCTTTGCATTGCACCATCACAATTTAGGGTTGATTAGGGACAAAACATCATTATCTCTGCTATCACTCCCTTCTTGGCCTTTCTTTCTCAGAGTAATCAAAAGCTAATAGTTACCAGGGACTTTTTCTAAGAATTACTGATTACTAAGGGGCTCCAGATATGTAATAAGCTATTAAAAGTACTATTGTAGACTTCCCTGTTTTTGTATCACACTGGTGTTCTGTTGGGGAGGATGGAGAAATACAGGTAAAGGTTAACTTCACCACTAWCTTGAGGACTCATCATGCTGTAACCAAAATTAAGACTTATGTCTTGGAAAGGATTTAGATGCTTAGAAGCTGTCAAAAAAATTAAAAACAGAGATGAAGTGCCTAGGTAGGAACGTGCCTAAGACTGGAAAGATGAGGATCTCCATGTATTTATTTTCATGTGAGAAGATCAAGACAACCTGTAGTTTGTCATCTACTTCCTGCACATTTTTTTACAGAGCTCTCAGTTGCCCCTAAAATATATTTAAAAACCCTTGCATGCAAAATCCCAGCTGGCATCCTTAATCCCAGCTACATCTACTAGCTACCTAAAATTGTGGGTTAGGTTTTAATCCCCAGCTGGCCTTTTGCTCTCAAGACTTCCTAGTTCTGAAGGTTGTACAACTAAAAAGAAATCAACATTTCATCATTAAAACTGAAAACAAGCCTTCTCCCACAAACCTTGGCTGCATTTGTTCTAGCCTACCCTGCCCTTAAACAGCTAATAAAAGACACTTGGAACAAAAGTAAACCTAGTGCAACTCCTGCTGAAGCTGGATAATAACCAACTGGTTTAAAGCTTTATATTTTGGGGAACATAAGTGCTATTGACCTTTACTTACCATGCAAGTCATGAAACAGCAGAGAAAGTTTTGTATGATGTCTTGTGTTCTGCATTACAGCATTCCTTCCTCCTCAGGATTTGTTAGTAGCACTGTAATCACTTTGTCCCCACAACACCACTGAATTTCAGTTCTGTTATTTATTTTAAAATAGCTTTTCAATTTAACAAATGCCCCCCTCATATATTATACAAGATACATTAATAAGTGCRGCAGTGACTAGATCACCCCTAATTATTAAGGCAACAACTTGCAATTTTGTCACAACCTTACTTTAGGATACTGAAAGAGTTTAGAACAGTTAAAAACMTTCACTCTATCCCTCTGAGATTAGGAAGACAGAAATAGGCACCTTCACTTTCAGGAACTACAGACCAGAAATTTTACTATAAACAGATAGTAAGGGCATATCCACCAGGGCATAACTAGAGGTGAGACACCAGGAGCCAGGGAGGATCCCAGGGGCTGCAAGAGAAGCACCTCACCAGACAGAGCCCATCCCATCCCCTCAAATGGCACAAGGAGGGCAGGCCTTGAGATGGTGACTGGTTTCATCCAGGAGCCCAGCTGAGTAAGAAATTGGTTGCAACAAGGCAGACTTAAAAAAATCAAGAAACCAATCCAAAAGGCAAGATTAGATGCAATGATTACTGTGCAGATTCACAATAAGAGAAAAACTGAGATCAATGCAAAAGGTCAGGCAAAGGATTAGAAGCCAGCTCTGCAGCATGKAGCCAAGTACTGAAAGAAAAGCCTATCCTATGGCCCATTTGAGCTTAAATAGATTTCTGGGGCAGGTGCAGMAGTAGAGACCCCAGGTGAGGCTAGTCATGGCAATTAAGGCCTATTAATCAGCCTATATAAGGCCACYTAGGCCTATTTTCTCTTTTCCTCCTATGCTTTCCTGATGACTGTAGGAGCAGGATTTCCATAGATTTTTYTCCAATTACAGGTTTTGAACAGAGGTGAGTGTTGCTCAGTGGCGTAGTAGCTTTGCCCYTGAAAGTTGTCTGAAGGGTTCAGTTTGAGTGGGTGGCTGTAATGCTCTCTTTCAGCTGTGTAGCCTGTAAAGTATGTTCCTTTTTGCTCTTAACAAGGTTTTGAAGACAGAGGTTTGGTGTCATGTGCTTATTGCCTAGTGCTATGGCTGGGGTTCCAACAGCTTGTCCTTAGAACAGGAGAAGGGATGCACTACAGAGAAAAAAGTGTATGAGAAAGGCTTAATGTTGAAATGGAGAAGAATTYTTTGCCCCCTCCCCCCCTTTGCGTAGAAAATTCTGTCACTGCAGAAGTTTTTCATATTGGGTAGGAGCAGCTTCTAGTGTGTATTTCAAGTTCATTGTCSTTTTTTATGGCCTTCAAATAAATGATTAAGTTAGCAGCCAGTGTGTGATAAAATGCAGTGGCAGATGGCAGCTGTAACTGACCCTAGTGCTTGAAGAAAACCACAGCATAAGCCTGTAGTATCCTCCTAGTCAAGAAGCTTGTTATTTGTGATGCATTTGGGGATGTTTTTGAGTGAGACTTCTGGTACCATGTTTGATTCAATGATTTCTTCTTGAGCTACTTCTGTACAGGATGGAGTAATAAGTTTATGAAGAATGTCACAGATTAACCAAATATCCAGTCAAGCCTCTTCCTTCCTGCTCTTTTCCTGCCTTTCCCTTCTCTGTAGGAATTCCTCCCACTTGTGCAGCTGTGTGCTTTTCTCTTTCCAGTGCCAATAACAAAACACAGTGTAGCCAGAAAGGAACAGACTTGCTATTTGCCTTTGCAGGGTGTGCACAGTAGTGGCCCCCTTTAATGCTGTGTCAGGACTGGTGGTGGCCTTTTGGCTCTGTCACAGTAACTGCTGAGCTGTCCCATGAAGCAGAGCTGCCCTTTGGGGAGGGCTTCATACTGCATGGGTGTCCTGGCTTGGCTTTCTGCTCTGTTGTCCTCCAGAACTCGCACTTGCTGAGTGCCTGTGTTATTAGAACAAGCCTCTTGCTATTAGTGTCATCAAAGCAGTATTATTGGATGACCTTAAAAAAAGGTCTAATTATATATTTAATTATGCACATACCTATATTCCTGATATTTAAGCATTGATATATTAGGATGTCGTATGTGAATGAGAGCAATTGTAGAAACTCAGTTTCTTCCTTGGATCAAAATAATTTCTTGCATTTCAGTGCTTAGGGCTTTTTCTTTAAGGGATTGAATGAAAAAATTTGATTAGCAATCAAGTTTTAGCAATTAGYAAACCTTCTCCTGTTGTTCATGAGAAATGTTTGTTGGGTTGAGGTGTTCTGTTTTTACTGCAATGTAAGGCTACATGAAGGAGTGTTGTTCCAGTGAAACTCTTTTAATAGTTGTCACCCTGGTTGCAAAAGGTCTTTATATTTGTCTAGGCAAGTGTTACTTRGAACAGCTAAGTTGAAACTATTTGTTTCATGATTTCGTAGCGAATATTTTGTGAACAAATTTAACTTGTCTCACAAATTTATCYTGTCCTATACAGGACAATCTTCAGGAATTCACTAAAGCAGCATATTTATCTTTGCTATTGTAATATGAGAACTTTTACTGTGCTGACAGTCTGTTGAATTCTGAAATTCTGCATTTTGGAATCCCATTCTACCCACAACTTTGTGTTCCACCTTCCAATATTTAATGRCAATTCTTCCAGGTCCCTTTCTGAGACCTATATTGTCTTAATTCTTTAAAAAGCACAACACTGTGTGCTACCCACCTGGGGCATGAAAGAAGTCTTGACAAAATATATAGCGCTTAAACTACCTTAGTGAAGTGTCTGTGCAAATGGCCAGCCAGGAATAACAGTCTAGAAGAACAAGAATTGTTCTGTATGTTTCTGAAAGAGTTAAAGTGTGAAAACTAAAGGAAACAATGTAAGTGTTAATGTTATTAAATACTACAGTGCTGATGATTTGAGGAAAAAAGAGCTGCCTAATATATTTATCTCACTATATCAGATGTCCATTTTTCTATCCCCAGGCACAAAACCCCCTTTTCCTGTCTTTCACCTCTGCTCTGACAGCTTTTCTAAGTCATTTGTCAGTTGTCAATGTACACATCTGTAGTATATAATAGCTTGAAATGTGAAGGCCATGTAATGATTATTTTACTGGTCTTCATGTTTAATTCATGCAGGCCTTTATCCAAGACTAAAAGAGAAATTCCTTCATTCATTTTTTTAGATCAGATCTTAAACCACATGCAGTAGAAGTTCATTTATATTAGTTCAAATTTGTTWTATAGCAGTGACAACTTTTGCTGGAGAATTAAAAATTAGGAAAAGTGTGGAGAATATGGGGGGGATCAGGGCCTTTTCTTGCTCTTGCTAAGGTAGTGCAAGTAAGTAGGTAGGTACAAGTGCCTATGCACCATGTCCATGTGCTCACCCTGTGACTTGACCAACAAGACAACCTAACATTTTGAAAGGGGGTTGAGAAGCTGTCTGCTTACTATTTCAGTGTTAAACGTTGAAAACCTTGCACAGTCTCACTTGAGGACAAATTTATTTAATCTTCTGTACTCCATCACGTGGCAGTATTGGCAGTATTTACAATGAGTTTGTGCCCAGTAACCACAGAGGGACTTAAAAATTTAGGTAACTAGCCATGCTAACAATCTGTCACTAACTATAAGTTCTACTTTGCAGGCAAGAAACACTAGAGGGCATTAAAAGTTCTGTGCACATACATCTGTTAACTCCACAGTGCTCTCCTTGAACAGGAGACTTTTCAATGTGATTAGCAAATAGAAGATTATTAACATGATGAAAAAAGCTGTGGAAGCTGTGTGCTAACTGAGGAAAAAATGGCATTTAATTGGCCAGTGCAACTGTTTCAGTCAGCAAACGTGATGCACATAGTACAAATCAACATAATTATAGTTGCACTAGGATTTTTCTGAGACCACAAGCAAAACAATATTTAATGCAGCCGTTTGTGAAAGTGGAGTTATGTAACTTGGGACTGGGCAGCTGATGGCATTTATACTGCAGCTTGTGTTTGTTTTGACAAATGTGATGCTTTCTCTTTTTTGTATGTTGTAAACTTCTGTTCAAAACCTCACAAACATACTTGTAGTTTTGCTAGCTTCTGTTCTAAACTGTAGGTGTTGGTCACAAAAGGGAAGAGAACTAAAGACAGAGTCAGAATGTGCTGAGGAGGGATTTTTAGGAACAGTTTGGAAGTCATTTTTCAGTGGTGGGATTAGAACTTGAAAGCTGGTTCTCTGATTTCCCTTCAAAAAATTAGGCTCCTGAGAATTTCTGTGCCCTGTAATGCATTTCACTGGAGTGCAGTAGGGATTCCAAGGTGTGAGGAGTTCTGAGGCAGAACTGGGTGTGGGGGATGTAAGAAGGTCCTCCTTGCAAGGGAGGGATTGCTTGTTCTCCCCTGTCTCCTTCTTAAGATGCCTACAACTTATGCATATGGGAGACTTCAGAGGTTTTTACTTTTCAAAGTGCAAATGTTTCTACAGTGCCAGACCGGTGCAAAGAAAGGCAACTTTCTCCTGCTTGGCAAGTCTGCACAGAGATGTGCACCTAGAAGCCAAAGTTTAGGCTATTGGTTTCTATATCCCACATGATTGTAGATAAAAGAACAGTAGTGTTGAAGTTGGCTGTGCAGCAATTTGTGTTTAGATCAGAACTATGTTTTGATGATGATGAACTATGTTCACCCCYCTGTGTTTCACAAGGGGGTGTGAATGGCACAACAATGGGATATTTCCTTTAGTCTCTTTGTCAAAATAAACCTTGAAGATGAAGAATAACATAAAAACTAAGTTGTGACTCTACATGTTAAAGTGTACAACTAAAGATTGCAGTTATGACTCACAGTAATAGTACAGCTTTTTTAGCTTTGGGGAGTAGAGGTATCAATAAGAGCACTGCGTTTCTGATCTGATGCTGACCTGCACTTTTTGTCATCTACTGTGCCTGAAACGCCACATATGGCAGCTACTAAAGAAAACTCAGATTTTTGCTAGGTATCATATTTTATAACTTTAAGGACAAATCTTTATGTAGGTGGGAGACTGTCATTATTTACTGATCTTTGTCTATCCTGTGTTTGCTTGTATAAATACCAAGGATGAAACATGAAAAGTACTGGTAGCCAGGTAAATGAAACTCAGCTGCACACTCAGAACCTAGCCAAAATAATTGAGTTAAGCATTTTGCATTGACTGTTGCTATTGTAAGGCAGGTGTAGTTAGCATTTTTAGGTGATTAAGGGAAACCTTATTTGTTTCTCAGTGAAATCTAAGGACAGGGACCTTGAATGCTGGAATTTGCTAATTATTTGKAGAGCTTGATGTCCACAAAACACCTGTGATCACTTGATAATACTCAGTCATTTCTGGAGGAAGAAAACCAGGCTTCCCCAGGGAGGCTTCTAGGAAGAGAAACCATGAGTGCATTGCTGAGCAGGAAGCCATATGAAAACTGTATTGTGTTGAATGAGACTGGCATGATCCTTGCAGCAAAAAAGACAAATATTTATCAGTTAATTTGGAACATAAATGATGAACTTGACTGCAGTATATGGTACCTGTAGCACAAATCACTTCGACTGAGCTTTACTTGGAGCTTTCTTGAGCACAAGTGGGTGAAATGAATTAAAAACAACTGCACTACAGCAGATTACATCTTTGGTATAAAGCAATGTGCCAAAACGATGCATTCCAGAAACATCTATAAAGCAGCTCTGTTTTTATCAATGCTGAGTTATGTGAAGATGCATAACAGGCCTTCATGATTATAATAAAGCAATGACAAAGGATGCATAAAAGTCATACTATAGCTTAGGGTTATGTTTTCTGATTGCTAACTGATGAAGTCATGCAGTGAATTTACTGGAGAATTCTGGAAGGGAATGGCCTAATAATACTGTTTATATTATATATTACTTTCCATCTTACGGTAAACTGTAAAGTACACCTATTTTTTCTG